TGACGTAGTGTCTCACTTGAGTGACGTAGTGTCCCACCTCAATGACGTAGTGTCTCACTTGAGTGACGTAGTGTCCCACCTCAGTGACGTAGTTTCCCACCTCAGTGACGTAGTGTCCAGGGTTCGAGGATATACAGGGTGTTACTTTGCATTCTTGCCATATTTACAGAGGTTACTATATTACTGATACTGAACACAAATCCGTAAAAAAATATTGCCCGAAATTTTTTTTTTTAATCTTGATTATTTTATTTTATCGACAATCTGTTAAACACACCACTAATTATCGTAACGCATGCACATCACTTGTTGACGATGGCGATGGAGACTTTTTTACTTTTTATTGTATTTTTAAATATCTATTGCAATCTATTGTCTTTAAAATGTCTTTTTGACACTTGTAAAAAACTGAGAAATCCATCAATCACGTTATAAATAATACAAAAATGTCTGAAGCGTATTCAAACAACGAATAATTTAATCAAAATGGTGCTTGGAGTGTCTGCAAGACGTCTTAGACGAAATGCTTGATGACGTACCCTTAGCGTTACACCAAATGCTCTACTACCAGCAGNTTGGCGACGTAGTTGTCGTTGTTGAGCTTGGCGTCGCGGGTGACGGCGGCCAGCAGCGCGCCCGCGATGTCCACGAAGCGCGCGATGGTGAGCGGCCGGATGAGCGCCATGCTGGAGCCGTCGGCGGCGCCGCGCCGCGCCAGCGCCTCTTGCACCCGTGCGCACTCGGCCCGTTGCCAGCCCGCGTTGGATAGCGGCCTAAAGAAATTGTTGAGGTACGGGATTGCGAATGAATGTTAAAGTCCGAAGGAGAGTAAAAATGTTTATTACGTTAACTAGGACATAGTTACAATGTTAAATGGTCGCGATGGTTCCGAAAATTGCACTAAATAATTATTATGTTAAAACTTAATCGATGCGCGGCCACTGCTGACCACGCAACCTACTTTTTAAAGTACGTGTCGGGTGCGTTGCACCAAACAGAAATAACATTTGAAATTCAGGTTTTGAAGATAGCAAACACACTGAGAACTGCCAGCCCGCGTTGGATAGCGGCCTAAAGAAATAACACTTGAAATTCAGAAGGTTTTGAAGATAGCAAACACACTGAGAACTGCCAGCCGGCGTTGGATAGCGGCCTAAAGAAATAACATTTGAAATTCAGAAGGTTTTGAAGATAGCAAACACACTGAGAACTGCCAGCCGGCGTTGGATAACGGCCTAAAGAAATAACAATTGAAATTCAGAAGGTTTTGAAGATAGCAAACACACTGAGAACTGCCAGCCGGCGTTGGATATCGGCCTAAAGAAATAACATTTGAAATTCAGAAGGTTTTGAAGATAGCAAACACACTGCGAACTGCCAGCCCACGTTGGTAGCGGCCTAAAGAAATAACATTTGAAATTCAGAAGGTTTTGAAGATAGCAAACACACTGAGAACTGCCAGCCGGCGTTGGATAGCGGCCTAAAGAAATAACATTTGAAATTCAGAAGGTTTTGAAGATAGCAAACACACTGAGAACTGCCAGCCCGCGTTGGATAGCGGCCTAAAGAAATAACATTTGAAATTCAGAAGGTTTTGAAGATAGCAAACACTGCAAACTGCCAGCCCGCGTTGGATAGAGGCCTGAAGAAATTAAGAAGCTCCTGAATGCCGAATTTCGTCAGTGTGTGCGTGCGCGCCGCATACGTATATTGGCGCGCTCACATACAAACCGCGCTCGTTGCGTTTCTATGAAGATGACCTAACTCATTTGTATTTACTCTGATAGTGGTCTAAAGAAATAAGATTTGAAGTTCAAAAGCTCCTGAAGGACGCAAACACGCACGTTAGATAGGGATCTAAAGAAATAATAAGATTTAAAATAAAGAATATCCTGAAGAGCAAGCACTGCGCGCTACCAGCAGCCTCTGTTGGATAACTGCCTAAAGAAATAACTTAAAATTCAGTAGAATACCAACATACTGTGCATATCCAGCAGAAACCAGTTTATTGTAGCAAGATATTAAGATGTTATATTGCACCTAAGACGCATCTAGAACTCAAAATTCAGAGTGATTAGAAATTTGTGAAGTCAAAGTTAAAGGAAGACAAAATGGCACTGTCAGATTTGCTAATGGCTGATTGATTGAGATTTTCTACAGATAATGTTGAAAAGCTCTATAGAATAAAATCATTGTCTAATAAGAAACTTGATTGTAACATCAGAAATAATTTTCACTGTATTGTTTAATCAACTAATTTTACTAACCTTTGGTCTTTGATCGTCACAAAAGCCAGAGCTCGCTCAAGTGATGTCTGCCAGCTACGGCTTGCCCTATCTTCCGATGGTGTCCTCTGCAAAAGATAGAAAAGTATGAAATTAACATAATCCTACTAGAAAGTGGTGTCTTAGGGTGGAAACTTCTTCTGGTAAATACTATGATGTTATGTTCTGTGTCTAAATCAGTCTTTCCCAAAGTGGGCGATAACGCCACCTTGTGGGCGCTGCAGGCTTAAAAAAAATCGGGATGTTGTGTAGAGGCTTGGGAGGCGTCATCTACTAGGAGGAATCTTAGACACCGACGGAGCTCGACTCTTGACTACAAAAATGGGGGGCGCTAAAAAATAATTTATTCTCAAAGTGGGCATTAGACTAAATAAGTTTGGGAACCACTGGTCTAAATATTATAAATATGTTTAGAGAAAACTTATAATGTTCTACATTCCTTACCACTGGTGTTGTTGTAGGCCTGCTGGAATAGTGGCTGCCCCGTAATGGTGTCATGGAGGATTGTCCAAACCTCTCGCTTTGCTGTGATCTTGATCTCTAAATTGAGAAGAATTTGATTAAAACTCTGTTTTGTACACTATGATAACTATGATAACAGTTAAAAATAATGAAGTTGTGTCATGATAATAATAATATTTAAATAGCACTTACTCCATTGAGCGGCAGCTTGGTAGCCGACGCTTCTCTGCTCAACCGGGAGCCTCCGAAGGTGCCTCTTGGGTCCGCGCTGCTGGACCTCTGGCCTGCGGTACTAGGCCTTCTGGCCTCGGTGGACAGACGGTCTGTGGAACCTGGCCGTCGCGGTTTGGGCAGTAAGGAAGGCTTGCCTTCCAATCTAACAAGTTTACGAAGTTGTAAATACTTGTACGTGCATCTCCTACAGCAATGCACTATTTATATTTATATTTTTATTGTGTTACTACCATTGTAAGGTTTTGTGCAATAAAGAAATATATTATATTATATTATATATATATATTAAAACATACATAATTACACAATGTAATCAAAGAAAACTACACACTTGGTATAAACGGCTCACAACACTTACCTAGACTTCCTCATAGCAGATGACTGCCCAGGCACATATCTTGTCGGAAGCATTTTACACAATTATATCACCAATAGGACATGTAGTTTAATTTTACAAAATTACAATAAATTTTTACTTTCACAATTCACAACAACCAGTTTTCGTTGGAAATTCAAATTTCAATCATAACAAATGTTAATGTCAGATTCGCCTCCACAGATTAAGTTATTTCACTTCTCACTCGACTAGCAAGAGCTAGCTCACTAGTATTGAGCTAGGAGGAGCTAAATGATGTGGTTTTAAATTTAAATTCGACTTAACCTTTTCGCGGGTAGAGGGAGTAGCCTAGCCTACAGCCTACAGGGATGTATGGATATCCGTAACCGTAACCGAAATTTTCGGATATCCGAAATAAAAAAATATCCGTAACCGTAACAGATTCAAAAGTTTCGGATAGTTTCGGATGTAGGCAGTTTAAATTGTTTTTTGTATAGCATTATATGTAAAGGCATAACAGCCTGATTTACCTTTATAATGCCATCTAGTATAATTTTTTATTTTTTTATTACTTTTTATTCGATTGCCACGAACGAACCGTGTTGGACAACTATTGCAAATTGCATTCTAAAGCACAGATATCCGCAACCGTAACGGAAACTTTCAGATATCCGAAATAAAAAAAATATCCGTGACCGTAACCGAAACCGATATATTATTCCAATATCTGTAACCGTATCCATAACCGAAACTACATATCCATAACATCCCGTAAAATAATGTGTATTTCTATTTAAAAGTTGATACTGAATGTCAAGTGGACCTATATTTTTCTAAAAATATAGCTACAAAATCTAGGACAGACGTTTACCTGTTATAATAACAGGTATATATTGTTGGAAAGCTGATAGAGCAGTCTGCGTAGCTCGAGTTCGGCAGGGCGGTGAGAGGGCGGCCGACGAGGAAGTGGCCGGGCGTGAGTGGCGTCAGGTCTGCGGGGTCCGACGACAACGGAGAGAGTGGCCGAGAGTTAAGTATCGCCTCGATTTGCACTAAAGTGGTAGTGAGCTCTTCGAACGTAAGGTTACAATTTCCCAGCACTCTATTCAAATGAAATTTAACTGACTTAACGCCAGCCTCCCAGAGACCTCCAAAATTAGGACTATACGCAGGTATGAAATGAAAATTAATACTTTCCTGCGCCATGTCCGAAGCCAACGAATCACAATTGCCTTTTAAAAATTTCGAAATCTCGTTAACCGCTCCTACGAATGAGGTACCGTTATCTGAGAATATGTGAGAGGGTTTTCCTCTGCGTGAGATGAATCTGCGCAGCGCNGTCAGGCTATATATCAAAATAGTTTATAGAGACATCTATTGATAGCTATGTGAACCTATGATGTGTCACATTCAAATTTAAAAAATAAAATAAAATGACAGTTGTAATTCAGCAACCGACTCGTTTTACTTATAGGTTATGGGCCCAGACCCATTTTAAGTGAAAAAACAGTTTTATTGTAGTATTTTTCGTGTTGAGTCAGTTAAAATGAGTTCCAGTTATCTCGCAAACGTGCCAAAGCTAAAAGGTCGCGAAAATTTCGACGATTGGGCGTTCGCAGTGGAGAACTTGCTAGTTCTGGAGGGTGCAGAGAAGTACCTAAAGCAAGAAGGAACGGGTGCAGTCGCAGCAGAGGCAGATGCAAAGACTCGAGCAAAAATGATTTTGACGATTGATTCATCATTATTTGTGCACATAAAGGATACAACGACCGCGAAGGAATTGTGGACAAAACTGCGTTCTTTGTTCGATGATTCAGGATTTTCACGGAGAATAACGTTGCTTCGTCACCTGATTTCTATAAGGTTGGAAATCTGTGAAAATATGACNCTTAATCAGTGGGCTTTTGCTAGGCAAATCCTTATTTCCCATTAATAAACTATATTCCGGGAATGATTGCATTTGCGATTGTCTCAAAATTACAATTAGTGCTTCATTTAATTCGCAAGTACTTAAGAAGCTAGTTCTTCGCATCGTTCCCTTTTTGCAATTATTTATGAACCTAAGCACATAAGCCACAGTGCGTTGAAGCCTAGAAAGTTTTGAAAAACGACTAAAATCAATAAACTCACTTTGAGTTGCATTAGTTACAATCAAGGTTACTTCCTTCCGAGTTTCAGGCAAATCACTGGCTGTACTAGGCGCTGTTGGGGTTGCAGGCCAGTGCGACGAATCGTGTTTTAAATAATCTGGTCCGTGCCACCATAAATTAAGCGACTGAAGAGATTCTATACTAACTCCACGAGATATTAAATCTGCGGGATTATCTTCAGACGGAACATGTCGCCAAGTACAGTTACCGGTTTTGTCTAAAACTTCAGCTACGCGATTGCGTACGAATGGTTGCAACTTCGAAGGCAACANTTAGAGAACAATATTGGCCCCTAGGTGGCAGACTAGTGGCGAAAAGAACATGTAACAGATGTATTATTTGCAAGCGAATGAAAGGAGTAACTGCTAAACAAATAATGATTTTGACGATTGATTCATCATTATTTGTGCACATAAAGGACACAACGACCGCGAAGGAATTGTGGACAAAACTGCATTCTTTGTTCGACGATTCAGGATTTTCACGGAGAATAACGTTACTTCGTCACCTGATTTCTATAAGATTGGAAAGCTGTGAAAATATGACGAATTATGTGACACAAATAGTTGAAACGTCTCAACGTTTAAGCGGAACAGGATTCGCTATAAATGATGAATGGGTTGGTTCATTGTTACTTGCTGGTTTACCTGAGCGATTCATGCCTATGATAATGGCGATAGAGCACTCCGGGATTCAAATAACCGCGGACTCGATCAAGTCGAAATTACTTGATATGGAAGTGGAAGATCTAAGTGAAACGGAACGTAGCTCGGCATTAGCAGCAAAATGGCAGAAAAAACCGGATAAACAGAACAGCACTAGCAAACATGGCGGACAGACAACCAGCAGTACGTCAAAGTCACNAAATGATGAATGGGTTGGTTCATTGTTACTTGCTGGTTTACCTGAGCGATTCATGCCTATGATAATGGCGATAGAGCACTCCGGGATTCAAATAACCGTGGACTCGATCAAGTCGAAATTACTTGATATGGAAGTGGAAGATCTAAGTGAAACGGAACGTAGCTCGGCATTAGCAGCGAAATGGCAGAAAAAACCGGTTAAACAGAACAGCACTAGCAAACATGGCGGACAGACAACCAGTACGTCAAAGTCGGGAAATGTCAACAACACGAAAACAGAAGAAGCGCNACCAGTACGTCAAAGTCAGGAAATGTCAACAACACGAAAACAATAATTTGTTATCGTTGCAAAGAAATTGGTCATTACCGTAACCAGTGTCCACATTTGAAGGAGAAAACAGAAACTAAGAAACAGAATAGTGCTTTCAACGTTGTATTTCTCAGTGGAGGTTTCAGTAAAAGTGATTTTTACATCGACTCTGGTGCAAGTATGCACATGACACCGAATGAATGTTGGCTGAAAAATCCTCAATACTCATCAAGTTTACCAGAGATCATCGTTGCCAATAAGACGAAAATTCCTGTTTTATGTTCAGGTGACATAGAAATAACGACAAGTTGCAACTACGACATAACTGTGAAGAATGCGTTGTGTGTACCAAATCTCACGACTAACCTCTTGTCGGTGAGCGAGTTGATTAAAAACGGGAACAGCGTCGTATTTAAGCCGAATAAATGTCTCGTAAAGAACACATTGAACAAGTTGGTTGCAGTAGCTGATCTGGTTGATGGAGTATACAAGGTGAGAGTACAAGCACAGAAATGTTTATTGACAGCAGTCAGTGGAGATACATGGCACAGACGGCTTGGTCATATTAATAGCACGGACATGAACAAGATGAAGAACTGTGCATTGGTAGAAGGACTTGATTATGCTGATGGATTCCTGACAAGCAAATCCAGCTGTCAAATATGCTGCGAAGGAAAGCAATCAAGATTTCCATTCAGCAATCAAGGATCACGTGCCACAGAGATTCTTCAGATCATTCATTCAGATGTCTGTGGGCCCATGGAGACTGCGTCAATAGGAGGTGCACGATATTTTTTAACATTCATTGATGATTTCACTAGAATGACCTTTATTTACTTCTTGAAGGCTAAGAGTGAAGTGTTGAGCCGTTTCAAAGAATTTAAGTCTATGGCAGAGAATCTTCAGAATAAGAAAATAAAAATCTTGCGTACAGATAATGGCTGTGAGTACTGCAGTAAAGATTTTGAGGATTTCTTGAAGAAAGAAGGAATAATACACCAAAAGACAAACCCTTACACACCGGAACAGAATGGACTGAGTGAAAGGTCAAACCGAACCATAGTGGAGAAAGCGAGATGTTTACTTTTCGAAGCAGATCTGGATAAGAGATTTTGGGCAGAAGCTGCCAACACAGCTGTCTATTTGAAAAACCGATCAGTTGCTTCAAGTATTGAAAAGACTCCATATGAAGGTTGGAACAACAAAAAACCAAATTTACAGCATATTCGGATTTTTGGAAGTACAGTTATGGTTCATATACCCAAAGAAAAAAGAACCAAGTGGGACAAAAAATCGAAAATGCATATTCTGGTTGGCTTCAGTGATAACATCAAGGGTTACAGAATTTATGATCCAGTTAAAAGGACTGTAACTACGAGTAGAGATGTTGTGATTATGGAAAAGTCACGAAGCATAGAAGCTGTAATTATTCCAGTAGAGACCACAAATTCAGTGGGGGAGTTGCTGGAGGAATCTGTGGTGAACCCAGAACTCTCTCCTGTTCAGTCGAGTTCCAGTGTGTGTGAAGATAAAAATGTAGAAAAAGAGAGTAATAAGACAGAACAAGAAGTTGAAATTCCTCAGCCCGACTGTGAAGAACCAAAGAAAAGGCAAAGAAAGAAGCCAGAAAGGTATGGTTATGCAAATTTTAGTGCTACGTCTATAGGAGAAGATAACTTGACTTATGCTGAAGCTGTCAGTGGTCCCGAGAAACAACAGTGGTTGCAGGCGATGGCGGAAGAGCTGCAGTCATTTGACGACAACCAAGTTTGGGAGATTGTCGACGCTCCAGATGGCGCTAGCGTAGTACAGTGCAAATGGGTATTAAAAAAGAAGATAGAATATGATAATAAAGTGAGATTTCGTGCGAGACTGGTTGCAAAAGGCTTCACGCAGAAGGCTGGTGTGGACTATCAGGAAACTTTTTCACCCGTGATTAGGCACTCAACCTTGCGGTTATTATTCGCTCTGGGAGTTCAATTAGATATGGATGTTACTCATCTAGATGTCACAACAG